ATATATACTGCTTACACACAGAATATTAACTAATACCACACTAATATTTCAATATTGTTACATCAATTCATGATTTTTGATGATCTAATATAATGGATTACGGTAAATTAAATGATTACTTAAAAGCTTTTGTTGCTGTGGTTTACTTTGCAAATATTACAAATTCAATCAACATCCTGAGCTTTAAAAAAAAATACATTAAAATGCAAGACCTATGAGAACAAGTAAGAAGACAATGGATAACACTTAACTTCAAAGCTTAATAATAATTTTATTTCATAAATAAGTGTAACCAAAGTTAAAATGCATTATAATATATGCATATTCCTTGTTATTCATTAGATGCATTATAAAGAACGTTTTAAGGCAAAATTAATGCATTAAAATACTTTTATAATGGATTAAACATAAAGGCTTACCACTTTATTTTATTATGTGTACTGATTACACACACAGATTATTAACTGAGTTCATAGACAGTTTAATGCTCACTAGTTCTTCCTCTCTATAGTGTTCCCTGAACAGTGCACAATTAAATCTAATCTTGTTTCTGTGAAGATGTTTATTCTCTCCTAGGGAGCAAAAACAGTGGGCTCCTAAATCCAAGTGGATTGGAACTGATTGTATTTGGCAGCTTCTCCTTCCTCTCTTCTCAGGGAAGGAGGCACATCTCATTTTAGTGGTGGTTTGCATCCAGGAAAGTGTACTATCAGCAAGAAATCAATGCTACTGTCTCTCTGACTCTAGAAACGCTGCAGCACTGCAATTAGGGTCATTAGATCCCTGCAAAAATAAACTCCTCCTGGTGAGGAAATAAGGAACATTTATCTCCTGCCTGGTGCTCAGAAGAGAAACGTCTTGCATCAAGAACATTCAGTTCTATTGCTTAAAGTCTGGAGATTTCAGAGAACTTCCTTCTCACTGATGAGCTAGATAACTGTAACTGCAAATATGGAACTGAAAAAAAACTTCCATTTAACGCTCCTGTGATATGAAAGGAAAAAAGAAAGCCAATGCAGATACACGTGCACCAAAATAAACTTTTAAAGACAAATGACCCTCTCAGGATATCTAATTGTATGTGCTTTCTTACAGAATAAAGTGTCTGTATTGGTGTATTCTGAGAGAGCATCTGCTTTTGTGCACGTTATGAAGGCATGCATGCAATTAAGCAATCTCTCAATGACTGCATACCCAAAAACACATGTGAAAATTTATCCTGAAATTGTGAGAGGAAAATAGCCGAGAGAGACCCTGGCGTGTTTTACCATGAGATCACAGACCCCAGAACATGATGCACCATCGACATGTGAACACAACATCAAATTATGCTCTTAAAGATCATTTACGATCTTTATTGTTTCCCTGTGTTGTAAAATGTTGACATTTGTACTAAAAATCAATTGTTTGTACTCAGAGATCAAATTTGTATTGACATAATGAATTAGGCTATTCTGCAAGAATATTAAATGGTTTATTATAATAACTTTTTGATGGTGCAACAACAATCATCTTATCTTTTTACAATATGCATGAGGAAATATCATGTATGTTATGACATATGATGCTATTCTATACTCACATTCATATTCATTATAAATTATATATATAATGCTACAACGGGGCTAAAGACATAAAATACGAAGGGACACACACAATACAGAGATAGCATGGTTTTTCAATGTCTAGTCGTGTTGCATAACTCCATGCATGCATACTTTTCCATTTTTAGGGTTTATGTAAAGTGGGTCTGCAAAACAAAGCGTCTTTTTATTACGAAACATTCCCCAATACAAACGTCTGAAGTCTGGGATGCCGTCGATGACTACATCAAGCTTAAAATAACATTTTCGTAATCCTGTGCAAACCAGAGCAGAAATAACGATTGCAAGAGTGCGCAAACGACTAGAAACACACACGTCAAAAAATTAAAAGTTGCAAAGAATTTAGCTGCAGCAGCAACCTAAAACGTTTAATGCATCACTCCATTTGAGTTTATCACAATATGATGACTGGCACAAACCGCAAGAGTTTTGCACAATTAAGTTTGATGCATATCCGCAACGAGGATCAGAAATACCCCGCACAGAGCGCGTGCAAATAAAACAAAGACGATTTACGCACTGTTTTCAGACGTTTCTCGGTGAACAGAACCGGTCGCGCACTTGGATCTCCGTGTTCGGCTGCAGCCAGACGTTCAGACCTTCTAACGGAGTCTCTGCGGCTTCCACAATGGGAGGAGTGAGACTATCATCGGGTCCGGCCCCCTGTGCTGCAAACATATATAAAAGACATGGATCCAACCAAGCAGCTCAGAAAACCCTGTCAGCTTAACCTGGAAAATTAAAGAGAGTAGAAAACTCTAAATCAATGCATGCAGATTAATTAAAACAGACTGAACTGGCAACCGAGAGAGTTAGTTTACATTAATTTTGCATGCAAAAAGAAGAGATAGATTAATTATTCTTTTAAATGGATGCTTACATTTCTCTCTCTATATAGCATTGAACAGAATCAGATAAAACAGAATCTTATCAGAAGAATAAAAGTGCATCAGAAGAATGGCTCTGACTGAAGCTGAGTTTGAGAGCAGCAGTATCATGAAGGAATGGGGCGGCCAGGTTCAGCCGGCTTTGATAGCATCCTTCATCATCCTCTTCTTCCTGGAGGCCTGTCTTTGGGTCAGAAATCTCACGATCAAGAAAAGGCTCCCAGGCCCATTCGCCTGGCCTTTGGTGGGCAACGCCATGCAGCTGGGACAAATGCCACACATCACCTTCTCAAAGCTGGCAAAGAAGTACGGAAACGTCTACCAGATCAGACTCGGGCGAAGCGACATTGTGGTTCTGAATGGAGATGCGGCTATACGCAAGGCGCTCATTGAACACAGCACCGAATTTGCCGGGAGGCCAAACTTTGTGTCCTTTCAGATGATCTCCGGCGGTCGGAGCATGGTGTTCAGCAGTTACAGCAAACAGTGGAAGGTGCATCGGAAAGTAGCTCAATCGACTTTGAGAGCATTCTCGTTGGCAAACACTCAAACCAAACAGACATTCGAACAGCACGTTGTAGGCGAAGCCATGGACCTGGTCCAGAAGTTTCTAAGGCTCAGCGCCGACGGACGTCACTTCAATCCTTCGCAGGAACTCACCGTCGCTGCCGCAAACGTCATCTGCGCGCTCTGCTTTGGGAAACGCTACGGCCACGACGATCCCGAGTTCAGGACTCTCCTGAAAAGAGTGGATAAGTTTGGCGAAACTGTTGGCGCTGGAAGCCTGGTGGACGTCATGCCTTGGCTGCAGTCGTTTCCGAATCCGGTCCGAAGCGTTTATCAAAACTTCAAGCTCATTAATGAAGAGTTCTTCGCTTATGTGAAGGACAAAGTCGTGCAGCATAGAGACACGTACGACCCTGAAGTCACCCGTGACATGAGCGATGCAATCATTGGTGTAATTGAGCACGGGAAACAGAGCATGCTGACTAAAGACTTTGTTGAGTCTACGGTCACTGATTTAATCGGTGCAGGACAAGACACGGTGTCAACAGTCATGCAATGGATACTTCTGCTTTTAGTCAAATACCCATCAATCCAAACCAAACTCCAAGAGCAGATTGATAAAGTAGTAGGTCGTGACAGACTCCCATCAATAGAAGACAAGAGCAACCTGGCCTACCTGGATGCCTTCATCTACGAAACCATGCGCTACACCAGCTTCGTCCCCGTCACCATACCGCACTCCACCACCTCAGACGTCACCATCGAAGGTCTCCACATCCCCAAAGACACCGTGGTGTTCATCAACCAATGGTCCGTCAACCACGACCCTCAAAAGTGGCAGGATCCTCACATCTTCAACCCGTCGAGATTCCTAGACGAGACCGGAGCTCTAGATAAAGACCTGACTAACAGCGTGATGATCTTCTCGACAGGTAAGAGACGATGCATCGGTGAGCAGATTGCCAAAGTGGAGGTTTTTCTGTTCTCTGCCATCCTTTTGCACCAGTGCTCGTTTGAGAGCAACCCCTCTCAGGATCTCTCCATGGACTGCTCGTATGGTTTAACACTGAAGCCGCTCCATTACACGATCTCGGCGAAGCTCAGAGGAAAACTTTTTGGCTTGGTATCGCCGGCATGAGTATAAATAAATAACCAGCTTGTTATTGTGACTAAAGGCCAGCAGAGACTGAACATATTACAAATGTATTCCACATAACGAGTATTAGTAAAGCTGCACTGAATGCTGTTTAGTAATTGTATATTTAATATTTATACA